AGTTAAGAGTTGGCCGGTTCTGAATCGGTCCAAACATATGCACGGGCTGGTTCGGTGAACTAATCATTCCTGAATCCTGACAGGTCCGTTTTATTAAAAAAATAATAATAAAAAATATAAAAAATAATGGTCGAATCGCCGGTTCACTACAAAAAAATGATTATATTTCAACGGAAAATATATTCTAATAGAATTATTCCAACGGAAATATATTCCAATAGAATTATTCCAACGGCATTCCAATGGATATATTATTGCTATTATTTAAGTTGGAATTTTTGAATAGATTCCAACGGAAATTCTAACAGAAAAATTTCTGTTGGAATGAGTTTTTCATTGGACTTTCCGTTGGATTTTGACGATTCCAACAGTAAATTTTTCAACGGGATTGGAAATAAAAATTCCAACGGAAATTTCTACGGTAAAAAGCCGTTGGAAATATAGTCGTTGAAATCATCAAATTCTATAAAAAATTCCAATGAAAAACACATTTCAACAGAATATTTCCGTTGGAATTTCTGTTGGAATCATTCCAACAAAAGTTATACCATTGGAGTATCCGTTGGAATTTCCATTGGAATATATTACCATTGGATTTTTCGTTGGAATATAACAATTATTTTGTAGTGGTTCCATCGGTTCAGAAAAGTGCATATACGAGGCTCGGAATCGACTCGATCAAACTACGGGCCCAGTTCAAGACCCGTTGACCACGGGCTGGTTCAAGCCGAACTGGCCACGCTCGATTTTAGGCAAAAAAATTTGACTGCTAAAATATTGTTTAACCGTTGCACACTCGTAATCATATTATCTTACCAAAAATGGATATTCATCCTATGAATATATTATTTTATCAATTTATATGACATTTAAAAGTACAATATTAGAGTGTGAAAATATACTCATATATTAAAAAAAATACGATTGTCTAACCATTATTAAATTCATAAACAAAATACGGAGAAAATAGTCTGTATAGATTAGCTATAAACGTATCATCACTACCATGATGAAAAGAATACCATTCAATTAGGGAACAAAACACACATTAATAAAACTCAAATGTATGTATAATATAAATACAATAATAATAAATTATATAATTTGCCGAACATTTTCAATCTTGAGGTAAAGAATTCGACTTGTACGATGGGGCCGAAGGAGGAACGAGGGCTCCTTTCGGAAGTCTTGTGGAGTACAAGCCCTCGTCTTCAGAATATTTGCTGTTCTCTCGAAAATATTTCAAGATTTTTCTCACGAAAAGATCGTCGTCATCCTTCGTGATCAACGAGTTCCGAGCTGTAGTTGCAATAATGCAAGAGTTCAAGAAAAGAACTGCAAGAAAACATATGGAGATTATCTTCGGCCATGAATTAGTAGAATAAAACATGATATAGAATATATATTAATGAATTTTGCTTCTTGTTTAGTTTCTTTTTTAAGTGTTTATGCTTAGAGGTGTGTGTGTATATATATATATGTGTGTTTGTATCATTAATTGCATTGATTTAATATGGAAAAGAAAAGAAAATGAAAAGTTGGAAAAATGAATGTGAATACATTTTATTGAGCGATTAGAATTTTTGGTACGCAAAAAATGTAGTGAAAAATGTATTAAATGGAGAGACACCTTATTTCCAAAATTATTGAGCTAATTCGATTGAGGTCGAAAAGGATGTGAAATTTTTTCTTCACCTTGCAACTACTTTATGTTGAAATTTTAATGTGTTTCCTGTGTATATATAGAATTGTTTTCTTGAAAAAATCCTTTTCGCTTGCAAAGATTAAAGTTGAAAGTTAAGTGCGTTAGTTATATATTAGTTACTAGTACAACGCCCGTGTATTACACGGGTGCTTGCTAATTTTTTCTTAAAATCTAAAATTATTGAAGAAAAAAATAGTTGAAAATTTAATTAACTTTTATAAAAAATATATATTATTACATATTTAGTATGACACTTTTTATTTGTGTGACTTACTTGTGTTATATTATAATAATTTTTTTAACTTACAACATATAACTACATTAAACAAAAATATATCAACTGAGAAATAATTTTATTTTTCTAATAAAATTTAATAGATATTATTTTTTATTATTATAAAGGTAAATACTATTTATTTATTTTATATATGGATGTCAAATCGAAGATAATGAAAAGATGATTAATTTGATATATTATATATGTAAAACCGATAAGAAGTACAAAAGTTATCAACTTTTAAAATATATTTATAATTCAATAGCTAATTGAAGGAAACAAATCAAAAGTCAGGGATATATTAGTCACTTAGTGTCTCACTATGTAAAATTACAAAGAATTAAAGGGTTATATTAGTACAAGTGATATTAAAATACCTAAGTTAGCTCATTTATGGAATGTCCGAACCTAAATATTAATTATTAATATATCATTATTATTTGTCCGAACCTAATTACGAAGCATGATTCTTCGCCAAGTAGGATTCCGAAGCACCAGAAGCAGCCACGTAGGCTTAGCGCATTCGGGAATTATATATAGGGGCGATTAGATTAAGGCCCAACATAAGTGTGATCAATCTTTTGTCTTTATATACATGTAGATACTTTTGTGATTTAATACATCAGTTTTCTCACATTCTCACATGGTATCAGAGCAGGTTCTATTGGGACCGCGCGATGACGTACCCGTTTACCCAACCAGTTTCTAGTAGGGCTTGGGCACCCGACTCCGTATTTGGGCTTGAGTGTTCTTAAGAAGGATTCACAAGTGAGGGGCGTATTAGAAAATTCACTTGTGAGTTGTCACACATCGTTTATATAGGGAAAATAAGCCTAGTTTATAAGTCTAATGGACTACTTCTCCTACCACCAATTGGTTTTTGGATGGAACCTCACTTGAGCTTCATCTGGTTTTCCTTGCTTATGGCGTGCTTTACATGCGTAAGACCGCAACCCATTTTGCCTCTCGTTTCTTACATGGTATATATCATATTAGGTTTAGAGTCCAATATAGGTTTGGTATTTTATCGCTCGTCTTCGGATGTCGTCAACTCTCACCTCCCACACCATCTTCTCCGGCACCCTCCGGTGAGCCGACGCTCCAAATTTTGAACAATTCGCAGGTGCATGGGGACCACACGTGCCTCGTCTCTACGACAGCGCCAGCAACTTTCGCCGGCACGTGAGGCCCACCCCCTACTCCGATCACCGCCCTTTTTTTGGCCGTCGAATCCTCGCCTCGTCGGTTACGTCCTGGTGTGGTCGGTTTTGGTTTTCTTGATGTTTTTAATTTATGCCCGTATTGATATTTTGATTTTTTGTGATCCGATTGGTGTTTTATATTTTCATTTGTTTCGCGATATTGTGCTGATCTGGTTTTTTGGATATGGATCGTATGGATGTGCATTATCAGCTTTGGAGCACCTTGCATTCCACCAAGCAGCAATCAGGTAATCAGTTAATGAGTTTCTTGCACAACTTCAACCTATCCGGTACCGTCTCCGACAGGCTGAGATTAGTCCAAATCACCATGATCTTATTCAGATTTTGATGGCTCTTCGTCCAGAGTATGAGGCTGTTCGTGCTTCTCTCTTACACGTCATCCATCGCTTACTCCTGATGTTGCTATTCAAGAGATCACTTTTGAGGAGACTCGTCTTCAGTTAGCCAAGACACCACAGTTTGAGTCTGCATTAGTTGTGCCTGCTTCTGCTTCAGCTCCGTCACAGCAGCCTCGTCCACCAATCTCTGTTTATTGTCGGCTTTGCAAGACCTCTAGTCACCCTTTTGCCACGTGTCCTAAAGTGGAGTGCCACATCTGCTATGCTCAGGGTCATATTGCTCTGAATTGTCCAGCCAAGTCACAACGTTCGAGAGGTTCATTTTCTCGATATTGAGGGTCTCATGGATCTTCTTCATCGACATTTTTTTCTGTTACAGCGGCTATTATGATGCAAATTGGGCTGGAGATCCTACTGATCGTCGTTCCATTACTGGGTACTGCTTCTTTCTGAGTGATTCACTCGTGTCTTTGGCGTGCTTAGATTTCAGATCGAGTGTTGAGTCTGAGTATCGTGCTCTTACTGATTCTACCTCCGAGCTATTATGGTTACGTCGGCTACTTGTTGATCTCGGTGCACCTCAGTCGTCGTGTAC